TTTCCTATGTTGGGATTCCATTGTGTTCCTGAGCTCCTGTCTAGATTTATTAATCATGTCTTGCACTATGGGCACAATCCTTGCTGTTATGTGAGAAATCATTTCTGATTTCATTTTTTCCAGATCCTGTTTTGTTGCTAGCTCAGGGAGTCCCAGTGGTTGAGTATCAGAGTGTTCCATCTCATTTCCCTTTGGGGTTGTTGTAGGTGATCTGGAAGTTTGGTTTTGAGACTTGTTTACGTGTCTTCTCATTTTGAGGGGGGCTGGGGGGTGCGGTGCTGCTGGCGTCCATGTGGCCCACCTCCTCTGTGCTGGCAGGGGTGGTACAGCGGCCAGCAAGCCTCCTCTTGTGCACAGGGAGCAGCTCACCTCCTGTGTGCTGGCAGGGGGGAGGGGGGTCAATGAGGACTTTAAAGAGTTGAGCAGAATGCAGAAATATTTTTGTCTTTACATTGAAAGCCCACTCAACACACCAGGAGAGAAAGTGGTTGTCTAATCCTCCCTCTGTAGAAAAGGAATTTAATGACAGACCAAAGGGACTCAGTGGCATAATTTTGAGATAATACACTTTCCATCTTCCAACTCAGTCAGTGCTCAACAGTTTCTCTCACTCTCTTAAAAATAAACTAATCATAAACAAAAAGCCATGCTGTTGCTGAGTTGGCATTGAGATAGTGACCCTATATGTTTTATGGATGACCAAGTTTAACTGGCCCAAAGGGTTGTGGCTAGAGGCTCAGCCCCTCTTTGGGGTAGAGTGACTTGCTATTTCTAGCAGCATTAGAGATGCTGCTTCTCATGAGAGACTGTCACTCTGCCCACATGGGGGAAAGAGGCACAAAGCTAGGGACACTTGTTTCTTCTGAAGTTGCCTACTCAGAGAGTTAATGAGTAATTTGAATGTATGCCCAACCAAGCTGCCATCCTGCAATTTATGTGCAGCATGGGAGCTCCTTATAGCCAGAACAGATAAGGAGAGAGAAGATACAGAAATATACAATTAACTGCAAATAGCTATTGGGGAGTGTGCTTTGTTATCATATATTCCTAAGATGGTCTCAAGTTTTATCATCAAAATTATTTGGAGGTTTTGGTAAACACAGTTTGAATGGCCCAGTCTTCAAGGTGGTCCAGTGGGCGTTAGGGAGGCAAGAATCCACACTTCATAGAAGATGCTGATATTGCTGGCAGAGGAACCACACTGAGCATCATTGGTTCATTTTGTTATTATTATTCAACCATGCTTTTCATTTCTTCTAATACCTCCATGAGTCATTGTTTCAATTGAATGAAGTCTTTCTTTTCTCTGTGGAGGTTGAGGGAGAGAGCAGCATTGCTGAACAGAGGAGCCTCTGGGAAAGGGGATGAAGAGGCCATAAGCAACCTTTAGTAACCAGCCCAGAAAATGGGTACAGTATCAATCAGTGCTTAGAAACAGACTTAACCCAAGAGATACAAATACATAAGAATTTACAAGGTTGGCTTACAATGGCCGCTCACAGAGTCAGGTGTGGAAGAGTGGGAAAGGGCTGTCTGTGCACTGGAGATCTGAAGGATCCGGTTGAAGGCCTGGAGCTCACTGTAGTGTCCCATGTGAGTCCATAACAGGAGGCCAAAGGGTTTGTGATGGAAGGCTGAAGAGTCTGCAGTGGAAGCCAGGGGATGATGTCCAAGGTGAAGGTGAGGACTGGAACTCCTCTGAAGAAACAAAAGTGAGCCTTTCTCCCCCTGACCTTGATTTTCCCATTCAGGCTACAAGCCTATTAGTTGGTTCCACTCACATCCAGGGTGGGTCTTCTGTCTTCAGTGAATCCTTTCAGCCACACTCAGAACTATGCTGATCCAATTTAGATGGGTGTTTCTTACTCAAGTTGACACAATCAGTTAACTATCACAGGTACCTTATAGCAGACTGTCATGTAAATTTTAGTAGATAAAATTTAAAAGCAAACAATTGAAATATTAATGTCTTATACCTAAATTTATAATAAAACCAACTTCACTTTTAAAAAAAAATATACAAAACCTGCTTCCTAATAGTGAACTGTGTGTATGCTATGGCCACATGGTAGTGAGACTTGGCTGGTAATAGATAGGTGGGTCATCCATGGTTGTGTTTGTCTTGAACTCTGCAAGCCGTTTGGGAACGCTTCCCTTGAAAGAGATGCTCCTGTCTGCAATGGGGACAGTTGTCAACATGCACACAACCCAAAAGGTGGGTCTCCAATCTTTAGCCTGGGCTTTTTGCTAGGCATCTCTATTTTCAATATTTCCTCTTTTTGTCCTTCATTTTCTTAGGGACCTCTCTCCTTTGACAACTCGTTTCAAGGACTGGGCCTCGCTTCTCCATCAATACTCAGGAATATACTGGATATTCATATCAGCATGTTCTTCTTTTCTCCTTCTCATTGTCCTCCTTCCATTCTTCCTTCTCTTTCATCTTCTACCCTAACTGGAGACTGACAGACTCCTGAGTAGAATAAGAGGCATTTTCCTCTCCTTCCTCCTTCCATCACTAGGGGACAGAGCAGCCAGTTCTCAGAGTATAGGAGAGAGGGACAGAAGGTAGGACACACACAGTTTTACCTCCCACAGAAGGAAGCTCTAGGCTACACCTAGCTAACCAAGCAGGAGCAAGAAGGGTTGGAAAGAGGTGGAGGGGGGCCTCCAGGCAGGAACCCTTTATACCCTTTGCTTTCAATTCCCTCCAACTTCTTCACAGAAGAATCAGCTTCCCCTTCTTACAGTCAAGTCAGTTTCTCGAAGTGAATACATTTGTCCCTTTCACTGATTCCAGGTCTCCTACTGATACCAAAATCTGCCGATAGTCAAGTCCCTTATATAAAATTGTGTAGCATTTGCATATAGCCTATATTTTACATCAGTTCTAGATTACTTATCATGCCTAATACAATGTAAATACTATGCAAATAATTGTCATAGTGTATTGTTTGGGGAGTAACGATGAGGAAGAGAAGTTCTCTACATACTCAGCAAAGACAGTTTTTTCCCTTCTATTTCCTATTTAAGGTTGGTTGAATCCATGGATGCAGAACTTGAGGTTGTGGAGGGCCAGCTTACATTCTTTGTTTCTCCAATGATTGTCAATATGTTTGATCTTCAGCAGTCTTATGAATATCAATGGAGCTACATGGGCGGCCCTTACCCAAGGTCTCACTCACTAGGGGTGGATACAAACCAGAAGCATTTAGCTTTCTTTCTCTGGAGTGAACTACCAGTGGGCTCTATTAGAATTCAGGGAAGCAGAATCTTAGAGATGGCAACCTTCCCCCAAAGATCAATATTTCCAAGCTCTTTGCCTCCCTTTCTTCCACCTACCTACTTCCAAAGCATTTTCTCCCAGGGAAACATTTTGAGTCATCCCATGTGTGGCTCACGTGGATACTCATTGGCTGTTCACCATGCTCTGCAGGTGTTTTAAATCTTGGTGAGCACACTGTGTGAGTGCATACACGTGTGCCTGCACAGGCTGCAATCTTTACCATCTGGAAAGTGTAGTTTGGGGTAGGAATGGAAGGGAATTGGAGTGAGGTAGAGGAGGAAGTTAAACATGAAGAGTTTGCATGGTGCTTTCACAGACAAGGTGTTGGGGGTAGAACTGAAGATGGAAGGATGCAGTCATAGCTGCCCATACTTTCTCTTTAGGTTGAGTTTGAGTGAAGGAAAGGGACTGCACCTGCTCCTTTCTGGCTGGGGACCCTTACCTGGCCCTGTGGTGGCTTTCAGATGGCATTCATTGAGCAATTAATTGTATATGAGAGATCATGATAAGAACCCCCATTAGTCAGGTGTTTGCCATTTATCAGGCACTGAACCGAATACTTTATCATATTCTCTCCTTTATTCGGCTGTTAGTGACTGAAGGAAATGTGTCACTCCCACTTTGTAGATAAGGAAGGTGGAAGGTGGAAGATTACGGAACCATCCCTGGTTGTACAGCTAATGAATGGCAGGGTTGTTCTTTTAAAGCTGCAAATCAAACATGCTTACTGTAAGCCCCCATTATAGTGCCTGCATTTAAAACACCCATCTCTTCTTGGAGACAACAGTGTGACTACCTTAAAACTGAGGAAAGACTGGGGCCAGGGATTTAGCTCAATGGTTTCTCTGCCTGCTGCGCAAGCACAAGGACCCAAGTTCAATCCCCAGTACCAAAAAAACCAAAAACAAAAACAAAGCCTGAGGAAAGACTAATGGAAAAAGGGCTCCCTGTTGCCAACTCCTACTCTACTTCATTCTTGCCTAGTTTCAGCATGGAGAGAGTGGTGTCCATAAGCCAAGGTCAATAGGTCCACCCTTGCAGTGGCCCCCAGGTCAGGAAGCAGCATACCTCCACCAAAGAGGGTTCCTGGCTGTGCTCCTTTGTTGGCGAATAAGACTCTTTTGGGTCTTGAGATAGCTTCACAGGTGAACTTGGATATGGTTGGATTTTCATTTCCAGTGCCTATAGGTCTGGGGTTGTATATTTCTAGCTCTTATTCTCACTTTTTCTGAGATGTCCTTTCTTTGACATGTCAATGAGCTTGGTTCATACGCGACAGATGCAACACCAAGAAAGGACGATGCTGCACCAGAAAAACAGAGCCAGCTTCCTCAGTCCACTTGGGTCTCCAGAGTAGGCCCCTTTGGCCTCTCTGGAAAGTGGGTCTCTCACTAGAGTGGGACAGGAATCAGGGCCTTGCAGGTATCTTGCTATAGGGTTGGCTTAGAGCTTTTTCTACTGGGCAATAGGCCACACTGTCATAGGTCTGATTTTGTCAGTAGGGGAGAGATCTGAGCCATAACCTCTGCAAGGGGTCAGCTTGCCCTTTTGCCATTTCAGCACAAAAGTCAAGTAGGGAACAGACCATTATAGAATGCAAGATACCAGCAACAGCCCTTGAACTGCTTTTATCCTAGCCAGAGCAGTCTTGTTTGATCTTAAGCTGGTAGCTTTCCCAGCTTATACTTCCCAGGACTTCGCATTGTATGATCTTCATTTTGTTTGGGCACTTTATCACCTCTGAATGTCAAACACAAGTGCATAGCCAGTCTGGGCCCATTGAGTAATAGAATAAATATAAATAAACAAAATACATATTTATAACATGTGCTCTAGGTAAGTCTTATCATGGGTCATATGATGTTACAAATAATCAAATTGATTTGATGGTCAACATAAAATTAGGAAGAAAATAATCTATAAAATTCAACAGTGTTAATATAATGTTTCTGCAAGCAATTTTTTATCTTTCTTACCTTCTTTTCCCATAAGTTTATCACTTTATGCAAAAGTTGTTGCTCTTCATCTTCTGTTACTTCTGGGCTGGTAATTAAAAAATCTACATCATGCCCAATCTCCTTACCCCTAATTTTAATAAATAGTATAGAATGAGAATAAGTTAGGTTTTAACCCTCAAATTTAAAAAATAATTTTGTTCCTATGCCTTATGCTTAATATATGCTTAATTTTACAACACAAAACATTCATGACATTCTTATAAATGAATTACTCTTGATTGCACAACTCTATGCTTTGCAAAATAAATTCATGACACAGAAAAATCCATATGTAGCATATATATGATTATGTATGAATGGGCCAAAAGTAACAGAGGTTGTTTCTTCTATATATCCATTTAAAATTGCAGCGTACATACACACAAGGGGGAAGGGGGTGGGAAGAGAGAGAGAGAGAGAGAGAGAGAGAGAGAGAGAAACAAAAAGCAAACCAAGAACTGTACTCATGTAATAATACAAGGTAGCGTTATTAGAATTATATCATAAATTAGGGACATTTTCTTAGATTCAGACTACTTTCTCTTTTGCCTCAAATCTAGTTTGTCATAATGGTCAAGATCTACTAGGTAAGAGGGTCAGAGGGAGAGTTTGAGGAGGATGTGGGAGGGAAGGAATCCCTTTCTGAAATGGAGACCTCAATATTCAACAACAGCACATGCCTCTGGAATCAGCCAAGATTTCTTGAGCACCTACTTTGTGGCAGGCATCATGAATACTAAGCTCTAAGGGCCAGGGATCTAGCTCAGTGGTTTCGCCGCCTGCTGGGCAAGTGCAAGGACCCGAGTACCAAAAAACCCCTCAAAAACCCAAAACAGAACTAAGCTCTAATAGCTTAATGGGAAAAGTACACATTGTGTAACAAGTGTTTGGCCTGTATCTAGAGAGTACCGAAGAGAGGTCCCTAACCTAGCAGGGAAGAGGACAGAGTCACAGAAGTCTATCTGGAGGTGGTGGAATAATTAGTCTTACAGCATGAAGAGAAGCCAACCAGGTGACTGAGGCATGACAGACCAAGGAAAAAATTCCAACTGAGCAAAGCCATAGAGATAAGAAACAACTTCATATGTAGAAGGAATAACAAAACAATTGGGGCTGCTGAAATGAAATGCGAGGGACAGGACACAAAGCTTCAGGGAGAGGCTGGCACTAGATCACAAAAGGCCTTTTGTGCTATTACAGAAGCCTGTACGTGGTACAGAGCCACTGAAGGTGACAAAGCAAGGTAGTCCAAGCAGCTCATTTACCTCCGGAACCCTCCTGTCATGGAGATGAAGGCCCCTGGAAGAAATGTCCAGACGGCCTCTTTAACCAGCATGTTGACTGCCTCTGCTTCTGCCCTGGTCACACAGCTGACAAGGTCTTCATAATACAGGAATCCTGAGGGGTCATTTGACAGATGAATGGAGAAAGTGAATCACAGTGGGAGGGGATTCTGCTCCCAAATAAGCTACATGGTCACAGGCGTCAACTATACTGTTTCCATAGAGACAGACTAATCCATGAAGTTCACTTTGTTGTGAATTTCTCATGGTAGTAATGCCTCTTTGATTTCTGAGAGGCTTCCAATGTCCTTATTAGGAAGGAGACATTTCCCATCCCTCAGGAATAACTGTTCCAATCTGATTTCCTAATGAAGAACCAGCCTTCTTGAACAATAAGATATGCCCTATCACTTTAAAAAGGTAATAAAAAAGATTTGGGGTGGGAAAATTTAGAATTGGAAGGCTACGGATAGATTTAATAAATGAAAGCCAAGAATAGGAAAGAGGTATATTTGTGTCTGAAGCAAGGTAGAAAATGTCTTAGACGGTGTGCTAGGTGGCTTCACTTGTTGCTTCTTTGCCTGGCCACCAAGAACAAATAAAACCTCAGAAAAAGTTGCTATGGTGAGGGCTAAAGACTTGGTTATTTTCACTGAGCAGTGTGGAGGGAGGCAGAGAGAGAAAGAAGCTTATCTCCAAGGACTAGGGTGAAGTATTAGAGGGGAGATTTGTTAGTCTGAGTGACATCTAATTATATTTTAATTCATTGCTCTTCTAGGTGGTGTCCCCAAGAGAGGGCCATCTAAACTCTGCTTTACCCTAGTAGTAGGAGCTTTGATACTGCCAGACTCAGCCCATTTCCTAACTATAAAGTCTGCTTGGGCAATTCTTTCCTATAATGAGCTTAAGTCTACTTCCTTCCAGCTTTACCCACCACTGACCCTCAGAAAGGACAGGGAGAAAATCTGTTGCTTATTGTTTCTGATGCCAGGATCATGAGAAGGAGGCAGCACGTAGACCATTTGGTTTGAGCATCCTGTACACAAAGTTCTCAGATTAAAACTTCCCTTGTTATGCCTAAGTGGAGCAGTTGTAGAAATGTATTGGCAGGACCAAAAGGTGATGTCTACACTAAGATACCTAGAAACTCTGTCCAATACCAAGCCATTGTGCTTGTGGAGCTATTTTCTACTATCAATAGTGATGCCTTTTCTCATTTTATTTTAAAGAGTCACCTTTTTTTTTGTAACATAGCCCACAAAAAGTGAGAATGAGCAGTTTGATCTAAAAAGCAATGCTCCATTAGGTTTTAATACAGAAATTGCCACAGGGCTGATATTCAAAATGCAACTCAGTTGATGACCATAAAACTCCTGTGCTCACTGCACATGAACCAAAAATTATTATTAGCAATGTACAGTTTCAGAATGTGCAGATACCAGAAATGAACATGGAGATACTGTAATAATTTATTGCCCTCTATGAAAGCAATTTAATTGGCTTTCCTTTGTGATATGACAGGGCAGTTGATTTATCACAAGATTATCACACTGGATAATGTTAAATATGTGCTGCTAGAAATTTACTTATTAAGGCAAATAAGGCATGTGAATGCTCAAGCCCCAGGGAATTGCAATCAAGGGCAATTATAAGTAAAACTGAATCACGTTTTCTATCTGACCTATGAATTGTGTTTTCAATGTGTTCAGTTAGCCTATCCTTTGCAGTATTTTAAACTATTTCCATTGACAATTCTATTCATTGTACTCCAAGGAATTCTATTCATTGTACTCCAAGAAATGCATATAACCAGTATTTTTGTTACTGTTGTTGTTTTAAGTATGAAGAGAGGGCATTCCTCTATTTCTCTATAGATCTGACAGTATTAAACAGTTGGATTCACTAGTTAAATCAATAGCTGCTTCATTTATTGAGTTAGAAGAGTCTAGAAAGAAGAGGAAAAATCTGATTTACAAAGCTAGGAATTTGGAAACTTTTAAATCTTGAAAGTACTTGGTGTCATTTGATAAGAATTTCATCTAAATGAAACACTACACACTATGCTGCCTCCAAGTTTCTAAGTGTTGAAAGTTCTTACTATCATTCCAAATTATTTACTTGCTACTTATTTTCAATACATATCTTCCTCTTTAATAGCATTTCTCCAGCTGGTATAATAATCATTCTTATTAAATGTGTACTCTCTGAAGCCTAGAATATAAATAATGGATCTTTTTTTCTTAGACCCTTTTATAAAGCTTATTAGCAATCTTTCAGAACTTAGCAAATTTAGGGCTGAAGAAGTAATTCAGTGTTAGAGCACTCACTTAGCATAGGTTAGACCTTGGGTTTGCTCTCCAGCAACACATGTGCATGTGCGCACACGCACGCGCGCACACACACACACAGAGAAATTAGAAACTATCAAATTTACAAAAGATGAGTAGTAGTTAGTATCATTGATAGAACCCACAAAGATTTGGATTCCTTCCTGTACCATTGCTGGAAGTTTTATTGTTTGTTGCTATTACTTACAGGAGATAGCTGTTTATTTTTTCTTCCCTGGTCTCCCTTACTTTCATATCATTAGACATTTTGATAACTCCATCATTATTTACAGAATCCATATGCTGGGGCTCCCTTTCAAATCACAAGTATATTTTTATTACTATTGCATATTTAAAGTAAACATTTGAAACTCACACAATTTTTGGCTCTATATTGGCAATATTTTACTTTTGAAAAATTTATCGGGACCCTCCATAAATGGAAGTGACCAAACCACCTGGATCCCTGGGAAGTCCCTCCAGGTTTTCAGATGGTAATAAAAACTCATGTTTCCATATTCCTTTCTCTTCTCAGGCCAAAGGGTTTTGGTTAGGTACATCAAGCCCCTGTCTGGATTTTTACCATTTCCCTTCTATTGTCCTAGTATTTTAGTTTCAAAAGCTTATTCATAGCTGTGAACTAGTCTGGCAACAACTCTAGTTCTTTCAAGTATTCCTCCCCCACATCTCGTCTTCCATGTCAGCTTATTCTTCTGTCTTTGACTCTTTACTCTCATCTTTTACCTGGGATACATCCAGGACCAAATGTCTAGAAGAGTTCATAGGACCAGGTTGACATATATCCTAGTTTGATATCTGGATAAAGAAATCATAGCAGCCACCAAGAAGAGGGTCTTTGCTCAGTGCCAACACAGGGCTCAGGACTTTGCCTACATTATCTGATTTATTTCCCTGGTAAGTATCAATGTTATCACCTTTTTTACCAATGAAGTAACTAAAACTCAAAGGTTTCAACTAACATGCTCAAGATCATGCAATTGGAAAGTGCTGGAGCCAAGATTTGGATTCAAGCATCAATAGATGCCCAAAAGATCACCTAGACTGGAGTAAAAGTACAATCAATTTTTATCTCCACCAAGCCTGACCAACACAGACCAACCACAATTTTTGTGAGAGACCATTACCTGCTTTCTGCATTCGTGTAAATGTCAGGCTTTTGTCTGACCTTATTTTACTAAGAGATCTGAATCCCATCCGGAACCACTTCTCGGATGTCTTCAACCCCACTCCAAAAACAGAAGTGAAGAGCTGAAAAGAGGAAGGAAAGTTATGCCATTAGTTTATAAAACAATCACTATGACAATGAAGTAGTACTTTTCAAGGTCTCAGACAACAAAGAAAAAGTGTAAGCAAAACAATGGCCCACTTTCTCTTGAATAGGATAAGTGTTATGGTTTGGATCTAGATGGCCCCCCAAAGCTTCATGTGGTCATAGGCTTGATCTAGACTCTGTGAGGCTGGAATTGGCTCATGATGCAATGCTAGGCTCAAGGGCACTAAGATTAAGGGTGTGAGTGCTACCTGCCCTAAGTAGTCTGAATAAGATGAAAGGGCCAGGGAGATGCTTTTAACTCCCATGTTGCCTTTGCTGCCTTGTGTGCACCATGTTGTTTCTCCTCTGCAATGCCTGTTTGCCATCCCTGCCTTGGAGTCTGCTGACTATGGACCAAAACCTCTACAAACTGTAGGCCAAATAAACCCCTTCCCCTCTAACTTTGGGTGTGGGACTTTTGTCTCATCAACGAGAGAAAAGTAACTAACACAATAAGTAAGTAGGGGGTAGTAACTTTTTAGAGGCATTTTTGTTTCAGGTGAGTCCTTTTGTGACGTATGAGTTTTAAAGAATGAAACAGAAATGAGAGGCACATCTACCATTTACATAAGGCTTACATATAGCCTAACTTGAATAACAGATTGCCTCTGTTGTCAATGTGTCAAAAGCTACCATATGTGGCTCTCTCCTTTGCTGAATGTCTCTTATGTACAGTCCTAGTCTGTCTGTTTACCCTCAAATTTGAAAGCTGAATGATCTGGGAAGTTATATAAATTCTCCCATCTCACACAGATGGTAAGTGGCAGAGCTTAAACTTATATCCTGGTCTATTTAGACTTTAGGCCTAGGATCCTGCTTCTACCCACCTTTTAGTCCTGTGCATCACTTCTGAACTGGACAGACTGGTTGAGGTCCCTTCTATCATCACCTCTAAGGCAGGAAAGTCAGGAAGTGACAAACCCTGCTTCTGAGTAAATGAGGATGCAGTGAGGAGCTTTCTGGACAGGTTTGTTCTTAGAAGAGGTTTATTCTGTCCACATGGTTCTTCTGTTCCTCATGACATTTGCAGCCATGAGTGACATGCTTTTGGAGCTAAAATAGTTTGTATATCATCTGTTACAGTTTAGATTTATGTTCCCCAAAACTCTTGTGTGCTCAGAGGTAGGGCTTTTAGAAGGCGATTAGATCATGGGGGTGCTATACTTATCATTTAAAAAAAAAATTTTATTTTCGGCACTGGGGATCGAGCTCAGGTCCTTGTGCTTGTGCAGCAGGTGGCAAAACCACTGAGCTAAATCCCTGGCCCTTGGGTGCTGTACTTATCAGTAGATTCATCCATTAATGAATTGAGCAGCTGAGTGTGCTATAAGGAGGTGGGCCATGGTCAGAAGAGAAGAGTCACTGAGACAGTGACCTGGAAGTATACAATTACCTCCCTGGCTCCTTTCTTCTTTCTCGGTTTCCTGGGTGCTGTGACATGAGCAGCTTTTCATCTACCATGCCCCTCTGCCATGCTATTCCAGCTTTGGAGCCAGCTGATGATGGACTGAATCCTCCAAAAACCATGATCCAAAATAAACTTCTCCTCCTTCAAGTTGTATTGGATATTGTGTCTCAGTGATGAAGAAAGTGACTAAGACAGATTTTGGTACCAAGAGTGGGGTCATTGTTGTGACTATACCTAACCAGTTGAACTGACTTGGGGAGGAGTTTGGAAATGCTTGGAGATCCTGGCTTAAGAAGCCACAGAATGCTATAAGCAGAGTAAGAGGAACTTAATGAGAGATTCTAGTTGGAGCACAGAAGAAAAGAATGCTGCTAGAAATGCAGGTGGTAAAGGCTAGTATTTGAAAGTTTCAGTTGGGAATAAGGACTCTATTGGCAGTCAGACATGAGGCCACATGTGTCATGCTCTGGCAGAAAATTTGTGTGCATTTTGCTCATGTCCTGAGACTTTGTGGGAGACTAAGATTAAGGGCAGTGGACTAATTAATCTGATGGAAGAAATTGCAAGGCAGTTCCATGTTTAGACTATGGCATGGGTACTTTTGGCTGCTTTCAGCCAGGTTTACAATGAGCACTGGGAGCAAAAATCTCATCTGAAAATTTTGGAGTTTTGCCAGAAAGGAAGTACCTTTCTGGCAAAAGTTGGGCAAAAGAGAACATGCTTGTTAAAAATATTAGCATTACAAAGAAACCAAGTACTTTGCATCAGGACAATAGAAAAGATGACTTGAGGGCATCTCAGGAATCAGCAATACCCAATGCATCACAGGCTCAGAAGTGGAAAAGTGTAAAAAGTGTATGAGAAGAGAGCCTCAGAGTAGCCAAATGGAGAAGCGCTATCTAGGGAATTGTTTCCTTGGGATTTGATTCATAGCACTAAACTATTCAGGCACTCTACAGACAATATTCATGAGGACCTGGCTATTATTCAAGTTGGTGGCATACCTTGGTATCATACACACGGTGCTGGTTTTAAAGGCATGCAGAATGTAAGAATTTCCAGCGAAGCTTCTACCCAGATTTCAAAAGAAAGCCTGAGAAGCTGGCCAGTGTGCTCCTAAGAGGGGAGCTGTGTGTGAAGCTGTGAGAGTGAAGCTAAAGGTGAAGTGGAGATGCCAGCAAGTTGGAGAAACCAAAAACATGAAATGTCTTAAGAAAAGTCATAGGCAGTGATCAGAGCCAACCCAAGAGACAGCCCATGAGGGCTGCAACCAGCAATGTGTAGGAATAGGACCACTCAAGCCCTTTGGAGCTCACATCTCACCAGAACCTGCCTTGGGTGCTGGAGATGGAACTACAGGATTTAGTATTTTCCTTTGAGGATTTTGGTCTTTTTTGGTTCCATTCATTTACCCTGAGACAATGCATGTTGGAAGTGTTTAAATTCTTTTTTGATTTTTATAGAGGCTCAGAGATAAGGAGCTTTGAGTCTCAGAGGAGATTTTTGGATTTAGTCTTTTCAGCAATGCTGAGATTTGTTAAAAATTCAGCGACACTTAGAGACGGACTAAATGGATTTTACATAAAGATATGCACATGAATCTTTTAGAGGCCAGGCACAAAATGTTATGGTTTAAATCTGAATGTCCCTCAAAACTCTCATGTGGTCAGAGTCAGGGCTTTTGGAAAGTGAATGGATCATGGAGATGCTATACTTATCAATGGACTCACACTAATAAGTGTAGCAGCTGAGTGTGCTGGTAGATGGTGATTGGTCAGAAGAGAAGGGTCATTGGGCCCATGACCTTGAAGGGTGTATTTCCCTCCCTTGTCTTTCTCTGTTTCCTGACTGCCATAATGTGAACAGCTTTTCATCCACCATTTCCCTCTGCTATGCCATTTCTGCCCTGGAGCCAGCTGACAATGCATCGATCCTCTGAAAACTATGAGCCAAAATAGACTCCTCCTCCTTTAAGTTGTGGGTATGGGGTATTGTGTCTTAGTGATAAAAAAAGTGACTAAGACATTATCATAATATGGCAATAAGCTAGGGACATCCATAATTATTTTGGTATCTTCTTCCTAGAACTCTACTAAGGATACATTTGGTTCTAGTTCCTTGTGTGATGAACAATTGGGAGGTAATTAAGTTTATATGAGGTCACAAAAGTGGAGGCTCTCATGATGGATTTCATGCTCTTCTGAGAAGAGGCCCCAGTGAGCTTTCTCTCATTTCTCTTTGCCATATGAGGACACAGGAATGATGCAATTATCTGCAAGCCAGAAAAAGAGCTCTTAACACGATGCAACTATACTGACACCTTAATATAGAACTTTAAGCTTCCAGAACTGAGAAAAAAATGAATTTCTATTGTTTAAGCTACTCTGTATGGGGCATTTTGTTGTGGTGCCCTGAGTTTACTGATATAACCATCCAGAATAAGTAATAAGATTAACCAACAGTGTGAAGAGACAACCCACAATGTGGGAAAAAATTTTCACCAGCTGTCCCTCAGACAAAGGTCTACTATCTCGAATCTCTAAAGAACTTTAAAAAATCAGACCTCCCAAATTTAAAGACCCAGTCCAAAAATGGGCATCTGAAATGAACAGACATTTCTCAGACAAAGAAGTAGAAATAACAAATAAACATATGAAAAAATGTTCAACATCACTGGTAATTCGAGAGATGCAAATGAAAACAACACTGAGATTCCACCTCACCCCAGAAAGAGAATGGCTGCTATCATGAAATCAATCAATAACAAATACTGATGGGGCTGTGGGGAAAGAGGAACCCTACTTGACTGCTGGTGGGAGTGTAGACTGGTGCAACCACTGTGCAAATCAGTATGGAGATACCTCAAAGAACTAGGATTGGAAGTCCCATTTGACTCAGCTATTCCCCTGCTGTGTATCTTCACCAAAGAATTAAAAGAATCATACCACAGTGATATATGTGCATCCATGTTCATAACAGCACAATTTGTGATAGTTAAAACTTGGAAACAACCCAACTGCCCAAGAACTGGAGACTGGATAAAGAAAATGTGATTTTTAAAAATAAAATGGAGTATTACTCAGCTATAAAGAATGAGAAATTAGAGACATTTATAGCTAAATAGATGCATATTGCAGTGATACTCTCAAGTGAAATAAATAGGACACACGTGTAAATACTGAATAGTTTCTCTAGTGTGAGAAACGGAAAGTGTAAATAAGGACTAAAAGATATAATAGATAATGTGAAATAGGAAGAAAAGGGGCAAAGGGGAAGGGGGAAGGGTAGGGGTAAAGAAAGAAGGGAATGGAATTAATGTGAGAAAAATAAAAAATGGAAACAAAGTCTTTGTAGATAGGGAGGGGTTGGAGGGGTTGAAGGGAGGGCAGGAGAAGGGTTAGAAAATAAGAACCAAGAGAGATTATGTAAAGGTGCAAATTTCCAATGATGAATGTCATTATATTGTATACCTTAAATGTACCAATAAAATTAATTTTAAAAAGATTAACTGAAAAAAAATTTAATGAATACATGTAAATCACTTACTTTGAAGGATTTATATCGTTCATTATTTAACACAGCTTTAACTTCAGAACTTTCTCCATCTTCAATAATTTCCTACATGGACAATTGAAAAACATTTTAAATTAGTGATATTAGAGAGTTATAGCCCGAGACTGTCAAATTTATAGCTCTAGTAGCTTGATTTCTCATGAAATGCAGGTACATTGCCTGCAGTATGTTTCCCTACCTAATTTAGAGAAAGCAAGAATTTTCCTATAATTTAAAACCCTAGCTTATCATATATTTAAGGAGCCCTTTATAATCTTCAGAGCAAAGCTTGCAGAACTATTAGGGCACAAATCTACAGTAGCCCCATGCGAAAAATATTCACTGGCAAATGCATGCTCAAATATATCTGATAATTTTCTTTTCAATGAATGACAACTTTTTAAAATAAGAGGACTTCTCCACTGAGCAAGTTATTTTTGGATCCACTAAAGCCAATCCATGTTCAGTTCTAATGGTGTGTGGCTCAGTGCCACTTCTTCCAAGTAAATTTTTCTTGAATAATGTACCTTAGACTTGACTATACTGATATTACTACCAGGTCACCAACTTGTCATGCTGTGGAGTCTTAAACACAATTAAGTATATAAAATCACTCCATCTTTTTGGAACACACACACAGTGAGAGAGAGAGAGAGAGAGAGAAAGAGGAATCAGCATCACTAAATGTCACACCTACCACTCCTCTGGAGGGGACAAATCATGAGTGGAACTGAGCCTTCCACAAAGCCTGTTTTGGGAGTCAGCCTTTCCCCTGCTGTAGAGTTCTAAGGACACTTGAGCCTTATCCTGTATGTAATAATAGTACGTGAGAGTTCTTCTAGTTCCACTAGCTGGCCACATGCAGCTCTAGCTGTGATAATGTTAGGGTATGGATTATACACATTTTTGCATTTATTTATCTCAGATAGATAGATAGATACTATATAAATATAGATGTGGAGAGTGAAAGATACAGAAAAAGAGAAGAAGTTGTGAATACTATAACTACATAACTAACAGGAAAATCTGTTTTTAGCTCCCTGCTCCCTCCCGACTTCAACCTTACCTCTATGATACACTTCACCCTGCCTCCCAGGCAGGGAATGCCCTCTGTGTCCTTCATACTGATAATGGTGAATGGCAGAGATTTCAGTACAGAGGCTGCTCTCATATATGTCACATAGAAGCCTTCATTCTCTCTAAACTCACAATCTTCAGCCAGTATCTCAAAGGCATTCTGAGAAACAAAACCAGATAGGCAAAAACCCTTGAAACAGTGATCACTCACAAATGTCTCTTGCACTCCTTTACATACTGGACAGTTTCCTTGAAGGTCAGAATTTAGCCTCCTATTCCTTTGCATCTTCCTATATGAGGTCAAGTGGAGTTGAACTGAAGTGACAGGTGCCAAATGCATTACAAGTAAACTGAGTTCTCTGCTATTAGATATTCAGGAATGATTTAGCCAAAAAATGACCTTTGCTCACTGTATCCCACTATTCCCACTTGGCATGACCCCTCCCTTTTTGCTGTCTTCCTCCCTGATCTGTCTTTAGGGTTCTGTTGCTATCACTAGGTGTCTCTTACTATGCACATCGAATATGGCCAGCATTTAAATCAGGTTCATTGAATGAATGGTTATGCTCATGGGTCACACAGTCCCAGAGCCAGGGCTATATAAAATGGAGCATGTTTATATTGCTAGCAGAAGAGTTAGCAGCTGAAGCTCTGGGATATCATGCTCAGTAGCCCAAGAGCTCCAATTTCCTGATATTCCTCACAGATGTGGGTTTGGAAGTCCAGAAGTGAGAAGCTTTGTGTCTGATACACTACTGCATGTTTTATCCAGGTCACCATTGACCACTAGGCTAGAAGACAAGCAGCTGTAGGTTTTTTAGACTCATCTGAAAAACTTCAGGTCTATAGAGATGATCAAGCTCACTTCTTATTGCATAGATGAGGAGCTGAGGCTCAGAGAGAGGAATTGACTTGCCCAGGCTAGCTAATGTCAGGCTAAAATCTACATCGGCAGACTCTTCATCTTTTGGCTTCCCAGCAAAGGCTGGTGATACATTATTGTTATTCCCATGCAATTTGCTCTTACTATGTTTTGGAGTAATTATAATATTTGATTTTTCAGAATATTTGCCTTTGATAAATATTGTGTCCATTTACAACAACTTTCAGGAATCAGCACCCTACAGAATACAACTCAAATGTATTTAGTCCATTTCCATGAAAGAAAGGGACCCATTCTTGTCAGAAAGGAGAAACCTTTCCCAGATTTCCAGAAAAATCAGAATTTAGGTTGTAGATCCATAGAAAGAACTTGCAAGTCCTTCATTTGCTCTGGGTGTTGAAGTAAAGCACTATTACCGTGAATATGTAGTTACAGTTGTCTAAAGTGGTTCTCCTCTGACATGCGTACTCAGGGATCTTTTGTACTGCAAGTGATGGAGTCTTCTGGGGTCCTGGGTTGGGGCTAGCTGGAGGGTCTCTTACCTAGACAAAAGCATAAACATCAATTTTAAACAATAATAGTAATAACAGTAGGTATATATAGAGAAAAATAATTGGGAACCGTTTGATGGCATTTGTCACTGGAAGGAGGATAAAATTATCAGGGACTTAAATTACATGTTATATACATTTCTAATATTTGTATTTGCCATCATTAACATGTATTATTTGTTAAATTAGAAAAAAAAAGTGACAAAGAGCCAACAAGAATTACCATTTTTATTTTCTCTGAATTTATGATGATCCAAGTTCTCTTCCCAAAGATTCTAGTTCTAATGGTCAAGGATTTGGAACTGAGAACTTAATTGTTTTTTCTTTCTTTTTCCTGAATGACCATAGTACATAGTACATAGTACATAAGAACTCTCTGTTTCTGGTTTCCAGAACATCAAGGCTTAAATAATTTGAAATGTTTGTGTTTAAATATGTTCATAAAATAGCTACCATCTATTCACTGCCTATAATACATTAGGCCCTGTAAATGCTTTATAAGTATGTAATTCTAACCTTCATTTGTCTTATGAATTGGGCGTTATTGTTTTATGATAGAGTAGAAAACTGAAGTTTGGCAAAAGCTAGTGACTTGTCCAAGGTCACACAGGAAATAAGCAGAAAATTTGAGGTTGTACCTAGGTTTGTTGACTCCAGAACCTACGTTCTTAACCATCAAGCAAAGGGCAATGAAGATTTGGGGTTCTTGACCATCAAGCAAAGGGCCAGAATACTCACAACAAGCTGGTGTCTTCCTGTCATCTCCACTGGTTTCCCTGCTCCCATGCACTCTATCAGCCAGGAGACGTCCAGGAGTTCTAGCTGGGAGCTGGCTTGGATGTTCTGTACCTGCAGCCACTCCAGAACATCATTACCCGAGTTATTCTCTGCCACTATGTGAGTGACAGAATCACTGCAAAATGCAACGCAAAGTTATCAGCTAAGGAGCTTTCAAAATCAGAAACTGTCCCTGCCTTCCAGGTTTCAGCATGTTCCATCTAATGGAGAAAATGCTCACTAGAACTTTCCATAGGCCTGGAGAATTCAGGCCTCCATGTAAGGGAGTCCTCTCTATTTCAGTTAGCGAAGCAACAGTGGTCTACATTACATGTCAGATGCAAGAAAAATTAAGACAAACTTAGCAATTTTTATTAGATATTTATTATTGTGGTGTCAATGGAAAAACCAAGATTCAGAGAAGATGGAAGATGAAATTGTTCTTAAAGTAGAACCTAGCACTACAAATACAGTTTTGATGCACTATTTCATTTTTATTTAATCCAGTAGCCTTCAAAGTTGTTTGACTGGGACCCACAGTTAGAAATACATTTTATGTCATTAGCAAAAGTTCAAGTAGAAATAGATACAGATGTACAGAGGTGGGCACAAATACATTTATCTTAGTCCACTTGAGATTCTGTAACAAAACACCTTAGAAGGGGTAATTGATAAACAACAGAAAAGTATTCCTCACAGTGCCAGAGGCTGGGAAGTCCAAGATCAAGGTGCTGACAGATTCAGTGTCTGGTGAGGGCCCATTCTTCATAAATGGCACCCACTAATTGTCCTCAGCTGGTGGAAAGGGAGGGCAGTTCTCTGGTGCTTCTTCTATAAGGACATTAATCTAATTCACCTAATCGCTTTCCAAAGGTCTCACCTAATACCATTAACTTGAGAATTAGGTTTCATGAAATGAATTTGAATGAACATAAACATTCAGACCGTAGCAACATTCCACTGTTAACCTATTAGTAGGTTGGGAAATTTTGCTCTATGTGTTTTGAAGCATACTCCTGTGATGTAAGTCAGGCAGGGATCTTTTCTCTAACAACCACTGGACACTTACCATGGTCAAGCACTGTCCAAGTACTTTATGTATATCATCTCATCTAATATTTACATAACTCCTCAAAGAAGTGTGATACTATTCACACTTCAAAACTGAGAACACTGAAGAACAGAGAATGTAAACGATATCATAAGCGCACCCAACTGGTAAATGATACTTTTTTTTAATGTCTCAGCTAGATCAGTTATGTTATGTCTACTTTTCAACAAATCTTAATAGTTAGCATCATATCATTGGATCTAATGATTTTTAAGACCCTTTTAGTTCAAGTAGTCTATAAATTTGGGAAACACTAAGAGCAAACCAGGCATCTAAGAGAAAAGTAAAATTATTTTCTCTTTCTTTTCCTAGTTCTCTTCCTTGACTTTCTTTCTTTCTTTCTTTCTTTCTTTCTTTCTTTCTTTCTTTCTTTCTTTCTTTCTTTCTTTCCTTCTTTTTGATTGACTCTTCAGCCTATTGTTGTTCACTATTATATGAACAACCCCAGGTTCTTGTGGTGGTGGTGGTGGTGGTGGGAGGGAGTTGGGTACTAAAGAAGAAAAAGAACATTTCTGGATATTAAATGAAACAGAGGGTTACCAATATGAATTATGAGAAGATATGAGGCATGGACAAGATTTGTAAATGATATTCAGAAAAGAAGAGCTTGGTGTGAGCTGGGAGAGGCAGATGGCTTTGTAGAACATCTAGAATTTATGTCTGATCTTGATAGATGGAAGGAATAAGGTGGCTGGAAGGCAGAACTTTGGGTACTGTTGGAAGAAAAGATTCAGAAGCCAGAAGGACAAGGAAGGGAACGGCCTGAAATGGAATAGAGAGATTATTTTGGGAATTAGTTATAGTTGTTGAGTCAGTAGGGAAATCATATTGTAAAGGTCTTAAAAGCCTTATTGAGGAAGTTGGTTCCTCTTTTCCGGAATTATGAAGCTGATGTCCTTTTATGAGGACATCAATAGCATTATGGTGTTATTCTAAAGGACTAATTGAGTACAGAAATGATTTTGAGGGGAGAGAGTAGGGATGGGAACACTTGGGAAACTACTTAGAAGGATGAAACAATAGACCAGATTTAAGATTATTTTAATCCAGTCTGGTTCCTACAGCACTAGAAAGGAAGGCAAAGGAGAAACATGATGGACACCTGGCATTAGTTCACCTATGAAAGGTAAAAAGTAGAATCCAATATTACTCCAACATATTCATCAGTGTAAAGTAGCATCACCTTTGGTAGAAATAGGAATTTAGGAAGTTGCATTTCTTTTGGGGAAAAGGGGGAGTGGAATTGGAGTTGTTTTAGGCACACTGCATTAGAAGACAGCAAGAAACCCAAATAAAAATATCTGATTGACATTTGGGATCTAAGAGGTGGGGGCTGGAGGTTGGTGCTGAGACCACCTGGGTGGCAGGATGTGACGCAGAGCCAAGCAGAAATAAGTTGTGGTTAAACAACATTTTTCAGAGGTCAAGGAAAGGTAGGTAACTCTTTTCCTATTCTAGGCCCATATAATTCCCAAAATTATTTATAATAAACTTCTTTAAAGGTTTTTTATGTCAACACTTTAAGAGGACAACTAAAGAATTAATAAGCATATATAAGAATTGTGAGTCTATATTTCTTCCCTTTAAAGGGAAACATTTAAATTATTATATTATTGTGATATTTATTATTACACATTGTAATATTGTTGTAATAAGTATTAATATTTATTATTCTTATTACAAATAAGGTTTGTCTAAACTCAGAAGGAGAAGGTGCTGAGGAGGAGTCCTGGGGCTCAACTTCAGGCCACTCACTATCCTCTCTCTAACCAGCACCCGCACTGCTTCTCCTCCTGGGCTTTCCAGGGGTAGTATGGACTTGTCCACACCCACAAGAGTGAATGAGAACCAGATACACTTGTTAATTTAGGTAAGAAAATTTGTAGGTGATATCATATGAAGGGAGACTCTCATCAAGCAACTAGTAAACAAAACAAAACATGAGTAATAATAAGCACATATGAAAACTAAAAAAATCAAACAAGCCAGATCTCTTAAGCCAACGCTACTCAAAGTTCAGTGTTGCTGGCCACTGGTTTTCAACAAGGTAAGAGCAGAAAGAAAAAAAGAGTCAGGATTTAGAAACTTTGACTGTAATTTGACATTGCCGCAATAGTTTTATTGATTTTCTTTTTAAAAGCATTGGTCTGATACAGATTTTTTTGTAAACTAGTCCTTCATTACAAGTAATTTAGGAAATATAAATTTAGAGGATAATTTCTGCTCTGGCCCTGTGTATATTTCCCATCTTCTGTGTTGCCTGATTTTGGCCAGTTCTCTCTACATGGCTGTCAGGATCTGGTCTACAGTGTGCTTCCTGGATTGGGGTTGTGATTGGTCCCTTGCAGACAATTCTAACTGTGCACTTGTTTACTTTTAGTCTTGAGTTTGCACTGAGAAGTATTACCTGGAGACTCACTCCCTCTAGGGTGGCAATTTCTTATTGCTGTGTTAACGGTATCTGTCTATTTGCTGGTACATAGATTCTTTTCTGCTCTGAGCACTCTAATATTGAAAATATTAATAATATTGAAGTAATACTCTATGTCAGATATTATGGCAGGCATATTTCATGCATTATATTATTTAATTATTAATAACACCATGAGTGCTCACTTCCACAGCACATATACTAAAGAAAATCAGTAACATCATGAGATAGACATTATCATCCCCTCTAGTACTCACTTCTCTGTAGGTACATGACATAATTGTATGGGATGCACAACTGAACATTCAAAAATCCTGTGAGTTTATCTGGATTTATAAATTATACATATCAACCATAGTTTTTATGGATATTGATTTTAAGGCAAAGCTAATTTTTTTCTAATGATTTGGTTTAGGGACAATTAGGAGAAATGCATCAAGGGAAGGGACAATAGAGAGAGGTTGGAAAACAGGTACCAAAATATCATTAAACAGAAGAAATCTGTTCTAGTATTCACCTCTAGAATCACCTGAAACAGGGTGGACATAGTAGGGCACCAGAAGGGTGAGTATATTTCATGATAAACTTATTGTGCACTTCATGTAGAACTAGGAGAGAGAGTCTCTAAGGTTTCAAACACAAAGAAATGACAAACACGTAAGGAGATGGAAATGCTAACTACTCTTTGTAACTGAAAAGGTAAAATGACTGTTTAAAAACTAGGATTTTTTTAAAAAGATAAACTGTTTCTCCAAGTTTCCTCATGATGTCAGTGTAAACTGCCACCTCTAAAGGCATGATGCCAAAGAGAACTCCAGATTTTCAGCCTTCTAGACTAAAGCTTGACTAAATTGATGTATGAATATTTCCTGGCTTTTGCTTTACACCTTCTGTAAATTGGAGTGCTTCTGTGTTTTGGAGGGTAGGAGGTAGACTAGCTTCCTTCTCCAATTTGGTCAAATTGTAAATAAAATCATTTCTTTACTTTTAGGAGTTTTTTTTCAAAGGACGCCACACAACTGGTTTTTAATGACATTAAACTTTTGAGTTTTCATGGGACTGAAATAATTTTTTAAATAACTTTTTTCTGGCTATGAAATATTCACAGAAAATTGAAAGTACAAACCAAAAAATCTGCAATATCAATCTTTTTAACATTGTGGTGTTTTTTCGTACTTGGTTGTGGTAGGAAAATGAACCGAGGATCCCAAAACAATGAGATCTGAATCCAGGCTTGGCTGAGCCCCAGCAGTAACAATTTGATTATTACACATTTATGGGGTATAGTATAAGACATGTATTGAATTATTATACTGTGTCCCATAAATATGTATGATTCTCATGTGTCAATGAAGAAACACATTATGAATATAATTTTACATGAAAATTTAAAAGATATTGCAAGAATTGTACATGTAGTTCTCAGATGTTTAAAAGCTTGGATTAGGAAATTAACTTATAAATCTCAGTTCTGAATTTTTTCTCAGATACCAGTTTCTCAGCTCTTCCAGCCTTTCTTCCCCTAGCTGGTCCTACCCATCTCTGTGAATTCAGAGGAACCCTCCATAAAGAGAAAGGCAGCCATCTTTCTTTG